AGAGATGTTTCAATTCGGTTACGACTCGTATATGCGGTACGCCTTCCCGGCTGACGAGCTAAACCCGATCGCCTGCACCGGTAGGGGACCCGATAGGGACAACCCCTCCAACATCAACATCAACGACGTGTTGGGCGACTATTGTCTCACTTTAATCGACTGTTTGGACACTTTGGCGCTCATGAGGAATGCCTCGGAGTTTAAGAGAGCGGTGGAACTCGTCTTAGAGTACGTGTCCTTCGATAAGGACAACACGATTCAGGTGTTTGAGGCAAACATCCGGGTCTTAGGGGCACTCATATCCGCGCATCTCTTGATTGTGGATAAGGATCAGCCGTTCGGTGATCTTCGGCCCGAATACTACTCGAAGCAGTTGTTAGAATTGGCTCACGATTTGGCCACAAGACTGCTGTTGGCTTTCGAGAGTAAGACAGGTCTTCCGTATCCGAGAGTTAACTTACGGACAGGAGTTCCCGATCGCAGTGACTGCAAGTGGTGTGAATCGCATACCTGTACGGCAGGCGCCGGGTCTCTAATACTGGAGTTCGGACTTCTGAGTAGACTTTTAGGTGAGTCGTGAGAGTGGACCACAATTGGAGTTTACAATCCATTGCCACTGATATTAACACTGAATTTGATGTGTCGTTCCCACAGACGATCCGGTGTACGAGTCAGTGGCCCGTCGGGCGACCCGAGCCCTGTGGCGCTCCCGTGCCGTCCAAACGGGTCTATTGGGGAACATCATAGACGTGGAGACGGCTGAATGGATCGGCAAAATGAGTGGAGTGGGCGCTGGAATCGACTCTTTCTATGAATACCTCTTAAAGGTTTGCACAAAACTCATATCAAAATACCTGTTATAATGACATCCCATTCCCTCCGCAGTCATACATAATGTTTGGCGAACCGGAAGACCACCGAATGTTTACCGAAAGCTACCAAATCATTAAGAAATACCTGCGAAAGGGTCGCACACACTGTAACCGAGGGTCGGGTAACCATCCCCTGTATGTGAACGTCAATATGTTTGACGGAACGACATCTACGCTATGGATTGACTCACTGCAAGCCGCTTGGGCTGGGGTACAGGTGCTCGCGGGCGACATAGAGGAGGCCATCTGTGGTCACGCCTTATATTACAACATATGGCGTAAGTATGGAGTACTTCCCGAGCGATT